CTGTCCTGCAGATACCCTGACCGTCGACGATGTGCTGTTTAATTGGAGCACGGGCCGCATCGCCGAGCTTCGGATCGAGGCAGGTGCCGCCCAGGGTGCTGGTCCAGTCGGAGGCCCCGTCGCCGGTCCCTCTCACAGCTCCAGGGGGCTGCCCGCCGCTGGTCTCAGCGTAGTGCTCGGCCCCGTCTCCCCTTGTTCCCCTCCCCCACCTCCCCTCATACCCCCTTTGACCCTTGTGCCCCTCCCTATTGGGAGGGCATTACTCACGAGGACTGTGAAGTATTCGATCCGTCAGACCCATGCTTCTGTTTCGACGTAGTTGAGGATGATGGGGGAGCCGCCGAGTTGTCCGCAGTTTGGTTGGAGTGGGCGCAGGAGGATTACGAGTTGTTTTGCGATGAGCAGCTGACCCTGGCCGTGGAGCTACACGGACCCCAGCCTCAATAAATCATACCTTCCTTTGTACGTCTTCCTGTTTTCTTCCTCCCTTCCTGGTTCCGCTAATGTAACAGAAAAACACCTGTTAGACCTGCTCACACCTGGCTTAGCTACACTGCATGCATTACGCGTTTGGCGCTTGGCTAGGAGGTAGGCATTATTTACTAAAAGCCAGGCATAAGGCAAGCATCACACACATGCCACCCCCGTCCCCAGGAAAGAGCGCTTGGAGCTGCCGCCACGATAGTTCAGACCTAAGCTGTCTTTCCTACCCAGTCAACATTTCGTACTACGCGGTACCTCCATTGGAGGTGCACTCACAGATATCGTATCATCCCTTTTAGTAGCACTGGTGAGGTACTGTTTGCCCAAAAAGGGTAGTCTACTGGCTGTCCTCGGCATCATCTATCTGTGGTACGGGCCTAGTACAACCCCGTACTACCATTCCGTACCTCGGCCGGACCACCACCGGACTAGCGATCGGCGCATACAAATTCTTCAATATTCTGACGCTAGGGTGAAGGTTTTCACTTGTAAAGGGTGCCAAAGGACCCGAAGAGGCAGATACCTCGATTCAAAAATTGGTTGGAAGATACGCCTGACTATGGCAGAGATCACTCCAACTCAATGGGACAAGTCTGCTGTACCTAATGAAACTGCGACCCGTAGCATGCAGCGAGAGGAACCATTCAATTGTCGATTGCTCCTCTTGTAGTTTTGATACTGCCGTAATTTTTACAGCGGTACATCGCACTCATCTTAGCACTTCAGTTTCCATCTATTCATAACTTTCAGTACACTACCTTTTGGCTAGAAGAGCCTTTTAATTGTAACAGGTGACCAAAGCGACACTAGCGCCATCTAGCGGACAATACTGAGAGTGCAATCCGCCATCTAGTCCTGACCGACCGTCGTCCCTGGTACTGTCGTGGTACAACGGTAGTCCCGATTCGTACCTTGCAATGCAGGCCTACTGCCACCTTTTTAGAGGTTATGAGCAACCAGAAATCACTGTGCGTGTAATTAGTACCGGTGTGTCACGCAAGGACATTCCATTTTCAAACTGAAAAAATTATCAGAAAAGTAAAAATTTCCTCAAAAAATTAAAAATTGTCAGAAAATTTAAAATTTTTTCAAGAAATTAAAAAAATTTTCAGGAAATTAAATGAAATTTACTGACGATTTGTATATATTTTACAATGGAATTCCCCAACGTCACGCCCAGCGGCAGTAATTTGTCGCATTTCTGGTTGCATATAACCTGTACAAACGCGACAAGTACACGGACATACGCATGGTCCGGATTCGGACTACCTCTGTACTATGGAGGGACTAGTGAGTGCGACCAGCAGGACCAAGATGGCGGAGTAGCGTTTCCCGCACTTTTCAGGTACCAGACCGTAGTACACCACTACTCCAGCTGACATCAGATATAGACATACGAAACGGACTTCGCACGGAGGTCAGTGGGAGGTACAGTCAGGGACCTGGCACTAGCAATGTTGACTGGGTACCGCCTTTCCTTTGAAAATGTGTTTTCTATTGTTTTCAAAAAACTAAGTTTTGAAATATTTCCTGATGTTCATGTTGTCCTGATAGACTATTGGGCTATTCTAAATCCCAAACGTGGTGCTTCGCTTCACTCAGCAATGAATATGTTGCCCTTGTTTGTGTCCTTGCAGCAATACCAGCGGCGGGGCCACCGCAAACCATTAATTCCATCTCTATCTCCATCTCCATCATCGGTGCCACCAGCACCGTTTCTGAGCCCAATAGCGTGTTCAACGCCGTTCAAACTAGGAGGTAACACACCAGGAACAAGCAAAATTTTTAACTTTTCCTCGATAGACCTATGCCAATTGACTCCTCTCATCTTCTTTTTGGAATTCCTTAAGTTTTTCCTTCGATTTTCAGGGTTTAATGAAACAGTTTCCCAGTCGGTATTGGACACCACCACAGCTTTTTGTAAGTATGGCTGTTCTTCATACGTGCTTCAATAGATCTTTTACCCCAGTTGATTCAACAGTATCAACAAGTCATTAGTTTTTGTTGTTTTTTCTGATAAATCCTTGTTACCCTTGCAGAAACCATCTCATTCTGGATAATTTGAACTTAATTTAACTTATGATTTTAATTTAATCAAAATTAACTATTGAAATAATGGGGCAGGGACGGGGGAAGGAAATGTACATAGGTGAAGAAGAAATTGTTACACGGATCCAAGTCTTTTCCTCCCCCCAAGACCCCAGAACTTTGACGGGAAGACTCGGGAAAGTGCACTGTCCATCAAACTAAGGTGCCGAACCAAAGTTATGATGTAAATTTTGACGCCAAAACGGCCGGCCCTTGATTCAGTTTTCTGAAATCCGTATTTCTGTTTTACTTGCAGAGGCCATGCTGTTGTCGCCCCCGTGGCTGGGTCTCAACAAGCTGCGGTTTCACCACAAAGGCTGAAACGCGAGCAGGAGGGCCAAGGGTAAAAATAGGAAGAATTTATTACACAATGTGTGGTGACAGCCAGATGCTCCGGTGGGTGAATTACTTTGAAAAATTGTGACGTGTCTGGTAAGTAGGAACCATCATGTGTGGGAACTTTTTTGGCTGAGCGATAGCGAAGCCTGTTACTCCATTGGGGTTGAAAAGTTTTTCCTATCTGTCTGTCTGTTGTCTGTGTGTGTGTGCGTGTGTGAGTCCGCACTACTCCTCCTGAACGGCTCGGCCGATCTCGGTAAGATTTTGCACACTTTTTGGACATGTCCTTGGCTCGGCACACGCGAAATTTCACTATCCTAGCTCAACTGGTTCAGTTTTGATAGCCGAAAATCACCTAAAAAACGGCGAAAAATCGAGTTTTCTGCAGGCAGATCACATCTGTCTTGAAGAAGGGGGGTCTGGGGGGCGGAGCCCCCCAGCCCCGACGAGTTAAAAAGTTACAAGGGATCTAGAATGAAGGGGGGTCTGGGGGCGGAGCCCCCCAGCATGCATCAAGTTAGAAGTAACCTAGCGCCGCAGGCCAAGGTAGGTACGCCAGGCGCGGATTGGAAGAACATGCAGCGAGACATCGCGAAGCCTGTTACGACAAGACGCGGTCTGGCGTAAACCTACCTTGTAATAGACTAATATTTTATTGTATGTAACTAGTCAAGTAACGATCTTTTATGTTGCTGTATCAATAAAATTGTTACAATCATGTCATAACGTGTTAAATTCTTCATGTATCCAATCCTGCCTTATTATTCCCGAAGGAAAATTAGAAAAGCGCAAGTTTACTAAGGTTACTCCACGAGGTCATTATGAGATCACTTTGAGGCCAAATGAGTCTGGATTGACTCTAAAATGAAGTCACTTGCGGTCGTCACATTTGGGTCATTTTGGGGTCAAATGAGCTGAAAATGACTCACGCGTGACGTCACCGCACCTGACCATTTTGGGTTCACGGTGATTTTTTGGGAAGGAGCCTTAAGGTAGTTCGAGCGACCGGCACATAGTTAACAAAAAACCATGAAAATTTGGGGAAATGCTCTTGAAACTAGTCTCTATCCACTGGCAAAAGATTCAACACTCGTTACCGGGCAAAATATGTATTAGTAAACGATTGAAAAACGGTAAAAATGCATGGGCTCTTATGGGCGGGCGGCCGAAATGGCTCTGGGATGACCTGTATATTGATATTGAATACTGTTCGAGTAAACTTTACGTCCCGAGAAAACTTCTTTTGGGTGCAAAAAAGTACCAGGATTTGACTGCTACGAACGGAATAGGTCATTACCGGTCATATTAGATAGTAATTTAGAGTTAATGAAGACCATGTCAGCCCGACCCGGACCTGGGACCGAGAGGACGGGGCCGCGCGGCCCGGGGCGGCGGGAAGATCTGGCAACGTTGCACACTGTAGTCTGCATGTCGTCTGCTGCACCGCGTCTGGAACTGTTCGGTCTTTTCTTTTCAACACGGAATAATATGTATGATATGCAAGTTTCCAAAAATACGGGTGCGTGAGAGATCCTTCCAATTTTTCGGAATAACCTTTGGGAGATGACGTGCCGTGACACCTTCAGCGTGAAAAATCGTATCGTACTGTATGTGCCAGCTGCCACTTTTGATCCAGCACACACTAAATGAAAAGGTGCGTAAAGGCATAACATCTTATAAAATTTATAATTTCTGTATTAAAAATTATTAAAATAATGCTGTTTTTTTTAGTGGGTCAAAAATGAGTGCACCACTGAAATTGCATTTGTTTTGCTTTGGTTACGACATTCAATGTCTTTGAACAACCACATGCCATTTTCACTCATTTGCTTCTCTTTGTACTACTATTTTTTACAGTGTTGACCTGTGTTCCAGGTAGAAGAGGCAGCATTAATCATCTGCCTTGCGTTCTGTGACTTTCATGTGGCTCGTGTCTATGAGGTGGTAACCAGAAATGGAAATAAAGAGGTATGTGTTTAAAAATATGAGGACAATTTTATTTCTCGATAAAAATACAAAGCTAATACTAAGCTGAGACAAGTAGGTTAATATTAAACTAATAATATTCAACAAAATTTATACTATTATCATAGAAAAAATTCAGATTAGAAACCTGGAGTAATGTATTACACAATTTTGTGTATGCAAACAGTCTTCACAAAGTCTTCTCTACTGCCTGAGCTACCGCCATCAATTTAGTTTTCTGTTTTGTTACTTTGGGCGCACCACCAACATCTTGTGATAGTAAAAATGCCACAGCATCACTGCCACCTTTAACGAAGGTCTCCTGCAGCATACCTAGAGTGATTCCAGCTGTAGCAATTTTCTTAACCATATGAGCACTCACAGCTGGCTTCAAACAAGTGAGAGACTGTTCATTCATTTTTCTCTTTGCAGTCTGCTGCACACCTTCCACAATCGATCCTGCCGTCTTCAGATGTCGCACAAGGTCAAAACGAGACACACCAATTCGGTCAACGATAGCTTGTAGTACTACGACATCACCCAGGGCGTTGTGTGCATTGGTTGTTGAAATATTAAATTGAGCTGCCACCGATGTCTGCTGGTAGCTTTTCAAGCCAGGTACCTTCTCTGGAAAAAGGTGAAGCGTGTCAACAAAGCCACCACAGACATCTAAAAATTCATCCATTATCTTCAGCTCCCTCATAACTCTCAAGATGATGAGAGCATCAAATCTGCAAAGAAGGTACATATGTTACAAAAAAAATCTTGTCATAAAATACTAACAAAATCTTGCAAATAAATTGTGTGTTTCAAAATTCATTGCATTCATTTCACCTTAGTGCATTGTGAGCTATGAGAATAACCGATGCGCCTTGTTCTTTGAGGAAAGAAACAAAGCCACTCATAGCCACTCTCAAGGGCACAGTGTCCACCTTCTCATCATGATAATACATCTCGAGTCCATGAGACTGTAGCCCAGTAATAGTAGTAACCTTTGATGGAATGGCTTTCTGTGGCAATATATAAGCAGAGTAATCTTTTTCACCAGATCGAGCGGCTATCTGCAAAAGAAATAATTAATAACAAATAAATATCAGGGGTTGTGAAAAGCTAGTAGCATTCAAAAATTAAGTGAAAGTGGTTATTGCTCTTACCTGAAGAATTTCACATGTCAGTGTGTTCAAGCCAGTAGTTTCTAAATCAAAAAAGACGGGGCATGCATTCTCTGAAATATCTGGCCGGTTCATTACTGTAATTGCAACAAAAAGGTGGGTAAGTTATTGGCAGGGTTAAACTAAAGTGCAGAGGGACTAAAATAATTACCATTGGGGTCATCAGCTAAGTCTGCAATGCCATTGAGTTCACAACCAGATGAATAAGTAACACCTTCCCTGTTTTCCTGCGCAGTGGCCTTCCTGCGTTTGTTCTTTCCCCAAAACAATCTTCTGGTTTTGTACTCTTTGGTGCTTTGGCGGGCTGAACGAGCCAATCTTTTCACATCACTTCTCAACCTAAATTTTTCAGTTAGTTCACCAGGAGACAATCCAAGCTTTCTGTAGACACTCATCACATACTGTTTGCCTATGTTTTTCTGACACACTGCTCCTGCTAGTCTAAAAGGGAATGCCTCCGAAGAACAATTGTGCTTAAATTTAGGATTTTTAGTAGCAACTATATTATTGAAGTTCTCGTTAGCCTGAGATGAGGCACAAGGAGCAATTTTTTCAGCATTTGCTGCAAAGCGACCAAGCAGTGCTGCAAGCTTAGGTCTGAATTCAACACAAGATAGTGGCTTCCCATAAGGAAGGCCCTTGTGCTTGTAATTGACTGGATCTTCATTGTACTTGCACCACTCGCCACAACCATCGTGCTCTCCATAGAAGTGACATTCAATATTCAATAAAGCGGCTCTGACACCTTCAGGATTCCACTGATTCTGTGTGATCGCATAACTGAAGGCCACACATAATGCCACACGAGTCTTGTCTGGGACATGTTGGTTGAAGAGAGCAGTGGAAAAAGCTTTCTTGATGTGGTTCAGATCAGACCACTTTTCGACAGGAATGTCACTCTCACGTCTCACTGACTGAATAGAACTGGAGTCATCATCTCCTATGAGAGTCCCCACCACCACACCAGCTTCTGCCATTGAGGCGTTTCTTGTTATCAGGTCAACAGCAAGCTGGGGCTCCATTGATTTGGCACTACCAATGTGGTTTCTTCTACAATCATGGTCTCCTTTAGGATGACCAAGGAGACAAAATCGACAGTCTATTGATCTGTGACCAAATGCCAGAATCCTCTTTGAACGAAATCCTACCAAAGATGCATGGCCTGAAAGAAAACAAAAATTGGTTTAAATATTTTCACAGATATTAAATGTAGTCACAGAATATTTATTATAGGAGCTATTTACCAGATCGGCTGTTGTAAGCTTTGCCTGTCCCTCTCTTTTGCCACCCACTGTCGAAGGATGATGTCACTTTGACTCTTTGGGGAGTGCTTTCATCACTAGAAAGGAAAGGAGAGTTTGAGACTTGAGAGGCACTCACCTAAGTAACAACAAATTTAACACCAACGGCAGCAACACTTGCAGAGTAATATTACTGTGTACACCATCACCAAATAAAATCGACAAAATTAGTAGAGAATTGGGAAGTTAGTTCTTTACCCAAGGTTTGACGAAGTAAATGAAAACCAATCCATGGTGATGATGATATGATGGAATGTTTTCATACCACAAGAACACTACTCAGATGATGCAAAGTAATGAGACACTACAGCAATCATGACTTGTAGGTAGAAAGTAATAACTTTCATCGAGCTAAACTTTGGTGAGTATGAAACATGTGTCCCAGCTCCAACAATCAAAAACCTGCAGGAAAACATATAGTGGTTAATAACTACATTCCCTCTCCACATAATGAACGATCATTGAATGACCAAGGTGTACGATGGCTTCCCCGTACTCATTTGTGATTGCAGAGCTGCCTTCTACAGCAAGTGTGAGCTCCTTCTCCAACAGAATGCTTTTCTTGCAAGAATCCTGGGCCACACTTTCCACTTCCACACCAACAATGCGTTCATGTCGCTTCAGAATTGTGCTGGAAATGGGAGGCATATTCATGGCTGTTAGCCATGTATTGAGTTGTTCACCTCCGTTTAAATTGTCAAGACAACCTGCAAAAGCAAGCAAGCATGTTAGCGCTACAGTCAGACACTATGCATAATGTGAGAATCAGCTTACTAACCAAGAGCAGTTTTGCAGTTCACATGAAACACTTTTCTTCTTTTGACATGGTCGTAGTGAGATCTGCATGTCTCCACTTGATGTGTTGCTTGACATCCCATACACACTACTTTGAGCACAGCAGCCATGCCGAACTGTCGTTCAGAGTCCGGGACATAATTGCGGAGTGAAAGTGGAGCATGACATTGCTCACACCACAAATCCTTAGCTAATTGCCTGAGCTCAACCACACGCCGCATCGAAGTCTCAACATGGCCTGAATCACGCTCGGCTGCTTTGAGGGCTCTAAAATTTCTCCACTTGTCACACTGGGTCTTGCTCACTTTGTCCTTCCACGCGATCACAGACTTTTTGGAAAACCGTCCACTCTTTCGATCACGAGGACACATGACGAAAGGAACTAAATTTGCACTGGAACGTCCAGACGACACGACAGAACACACTAACCTCAGCAATGTCAGCACACCTGCGCGGCAGCTGCAACGTTGCCAGATCTTCAGTACCAACATACACACGCGTAATCGTAGTTTTCTGTATCCTTTCTTTATTTCGCAGACCAGTTGCAATCCCATCAATACATATTTTTATGAAATGTTATTGTACGGTATTTATTTTTCAACGTTCAAAAGCATCGGATGACGAATTTTTTTGGTGTATGGCGGTCACAGAGTTCAGTGTTGTTATGTTGGTTAGAGCGGGCCTGTCGCCCGGAACGAAGTCAAAGTACATCTATTTAATTATTGTTTAGAATAATTTGTGGGGAATTAAATTATTGTAAGGTTTAAAATTGAATTTAAAAATTAAAACTTGATTTTTGAAACATCTTTTGCCCGGTAAAAAGGAGATTAAAATTAGTCACTGCATTGACTAGCACGACCCGCTCGAACTACCTTAAGTGCGATTATTTTGAGCTCATGATTTGTTTTGTATTGTCCTTGGGATGCCATGTAAAAGTACACACTCTAAATTCTGATGGACTTTTAAAATGCATAAGGACGCATTTTTATGCATAGTTATGCATGCGCAGAAACGTCCATAAGGTGTGTATGAAATTATGCATCACTGTGTACATTTTATGCATCTTCCTGCATAAAATGTACACAGTGATGCATAATATTATACGTAACATATGGACCTATCTGAGCATGCGTAACCATGCATAAAAAAGTCCATAAGAATTTAGTGTGCATGTATGGAATTCTACCTCCAGGAGTACGCAGATCAAAATGTACAACTTTTGACATCACATCTTTTGACATTGAGGTATCTATCTCAGTGAACATCAAGCAAAAGTACAGAACCGCGGTGTAAGCAGGCCTCCGCAGGCAAGCCCCAATTATAAGCATTAGTCTGACGGAGTCCTCCATGCAGGATGCTCCATATAGCCTTGCTCCTCTACAATCTGAGACTGGAGCGAATCACCCAGTTGGCTCGACTAGCTCAGTCCCAGTGGCCCCACTTCTTGCAGTCTGCCAAGAGCTCCTGCTTACGAAACAATAACAAAGACCCCAGTGACACTACGGTGGAGGAAGCATTCACCCAGGCCCAGCCCTTCCCTGCCTCTGTAAAGATGGAACTTATTTACTACTATCTCCATCACTTGAAGAAGTTGGAGGAGCGGTGAAATAACTCAACAGAGAACATAAATTCACTGCAAATTTGATGGAAAGACTTCGCTCTATCACGCCAAGTTTTAGTCAGACCTGAAAGTCTCGCTAAGATTTGGTCAGACAAAAAAGTCTCGCCACTAAACGGTCAGACACAAAAGTCTCACCGGTGAGACTTTCGTGTCTACCCGTTTTGTGGCGAGACTTTTTTGACTGATCAAATTTTCGCGAGACTTTAATGTCTCGCCTCTGGAGTGGCGAGAAGTCTGACCTTTGGATATGTAGTGAAAGCATTTTTGGCTGAGCGATAGCAAAGCTTGTTACTCGGGTGGGTTTGAAGAGTTTTCATGCCTATCTGACTGTGTCCGTACTACTCCTCCTGAACGGCTGAGCCGATTCGGCTGAGATTTTGCAGGGTCATTTGGCATATCCTTGGCTCACCACACACCAAAATTCAGCTTTCTATCTTAATCCATTAGGCCGTATTGACCGAAAAACACTTAAAAACAGCAGGAAAAAAACAAATTTTGAGGGACATACACTTTCGGTCAAGTTTCGAATCGTTTCCCATGTGTTTGAGGGTGCTGATGACGAAAATAGAACCCGCTCTGACCCCCGACCCACAGCTAAGTCCCATTGGTGAAGATTTTGATCACCAAATGGGCATCACGCCCACTTCTGCGGTATGAAGAGGAAAGCAGCCTGCCGAAGGCAGGTTAGCGCCGCAGGCCAAGGTAGGTGTATACGGCATGCGTGGATTGTCGAAATTGGCGAAGCCGCGAAGCCTGTTACGTCAAGACACGGTCTGGCGTACACCAACCTTGTTTATTCCGAAAAATAAATCCAGGAAAGCTGGTTTCATTTCTTTCCTGACGAAGGAAATAGCTGTTGGGTCACTTCTCTCCCTCTCACTCCTATCAGCGTGTGACTTATGTTCAGTGTTTGCACTGTGTGCATCAGATTTGTTTTTCCTCTCATCTGCTTATACTGACGTATAAACTGACTTCATACATAAACTGACTAAGAAACTACAAGAAACATGGATTCGGACTCAGACAACATTGAAGAAGTCGCGGATGAGCAGGGATATTTGATTAATGATGGAGATGGGAGTGTAACTGTGTTGCAAGTGCAAAGAAAGGGCAGAATCCTTAAATTGAGAGATCATTAATCTCTTGAAGAGAAGTTTGTGCCTGGATTTGAGATGTAATATTCTCGTTGCTCGGAGAAATTAAATAACAAATGCAAAGCTAGAGCCAGGAAAGAATTGGGCAAAGACATGGTAATGACACGGGGCTTCACAATACATAACATATGGACCTATCTGAGCATGCTTAACTATGCATAAAAAAAGTCCAAAAGAATGTAGTGTGGACTACCCCTCAAATTTTTCTCTATGATCGGTGCGAGCCAAGGTGCATGTAAGTTCGGATGCGGGTAGCAGGAACGGTTAAGGAGGACTCCGCTGTGGGACATTACCAATCATAAGACGAATTTATGGGGTGGTCCGCATTACCCGCTAGTGGTATCCATATTACCCGCATTTACGGTGGGCTTCTAGGGGTGGACCCTTTCTTGGTTTTGAGACGTGCTGGAGGTTGCAGACTCGCCCCTGCGCCTATCCCAGGTGCGCCGCGCTCTGTCCGCCGAGCTGGGCATGATGGCGCACCGGCTCGGCCCCGAGCACCCCAAGCCCGCCTCCTTCGACGAGGTCGCGTGGTCGAGGTGGGCCCTCGCCGGCTACCGGGTCATACACAGTCAGAAGGTTCTGCGGGTGACTAACGTGTTCCTGCCCACGTACTACTGCGGCGTCGTGGGCTGGCTGCTAAGGCAGACGTCCTTGAGCGTAAGTAAAACAGGCCGTTCTGAACAGGGACGCAAAGTGGGCCAGAAGACCGGTGGAGGCGGCCAAAATTCTAGGCACGACAGTCACGAAATGCACACGGTAAATCCTGGATAATTTTTTTTGCCAAACTTTACCGTACTTCAAAAACCAGTATCCACCGTACAGTCTACAGTATTTACCGTACTTGTTTTACAAAATATTCCGTAGTCATTTAACAGTAGTTACCGTTCTTCCGTACAGTCCATGCCGTAGGAAGGACTAGATCAGGTCCCAACAAAGGCCGCTTCCAAGACTTGTCTACATCAGGATCTTAATAAAAGGGGGTCGACCGACTGAAAAATTTTATTGCACCTTTCGATAGGTCTCGTCAAGACCTTTACAACGATTGGTCGGAAGGGGGGTCCAGGAGTCCGACTTCAGCAGTTGCATTCATCAGGAACTTGAAAAACGAGGGTTGATCGACTGAAAAAAATTGTAGCAGTTTTTGATAGGTATTGAAAGTACGAGATTGCCTGTAAAAAAAGGACGGTGTTGCCCGCCAAAAAACGACGGTATTGCCTGTTAAAAAAAAGTACGCTGAAGTCTGGAGTAATCAGTACAGGATTTACCGTGATCTTTTCTCGCAGTGCACTGGATTGCGCTCCGAACCAGGCAAACTTTGGTTACACCACACGTCTAGAATTTCAGCCGCCTCCACCAGGCTTCAAGCCGGATGCAGGGTAAATTTCATTAATCGTAAAGAAAAATGTGGAGTTTGCACGCTTTGACAGTGTGCCCAAAGTTTGCCTGGCCGTCGCAACAATTTTGGAGGGCTGAGCAGGGATTGTACCACAGTCTGACGGACACCACCGCGGCTTTTGTCATCGTCTACGACACCATGTTCCTTATGCGGTGTCGGAGGGAGCTCCTATCGTACGTTCAAGAGGCCGTGGGGCTCGCAATGGAGATCGAGGAGTTGATGGCGCCCAGCAAGGTGAGATTGGGCATGGTCGATGCTCAAGTGAAACTGCGATAAAAAAAATCAAACAAAAAACACAACTGCAAATGCAAAAGCGATACATAAGTACATTTTTGGGTGATACAATTGAGTATCGCCAACGAACGGCATAACGGAGATGTATTGCCCTCAGATCGGGGATACACAGAAGTATCGCCAGAATTTGGCGATACTTTTGGGTATCGCCAAAACCGCGGCATTGAACTAAGGACTTGTCCCCTTGATTTGTTCAACAATTAATGCCAAATCGTGGCAATACTCCGAAGTATCGCCAAATGTTGGCGATACTTTCGTGTATCGCCGTTTTGAAGGCAATACTTTTCCGTAAGGCCGTTTATTGGCGATACTCAATTGTATCCCCAAAAAAGGTACAAAAAGTATTGCCTTTGGATTTGCAGTGACTGCAGAAGGTTCTAACGGTTGCCTTGCAGGAGATGGAGAAAGACATCTTGTACACCGTCCACATGCTGCAATTCATTTTCTCTGCCGGGGCGATGCACGCCTTGGCAGCGTTGCTCCTGTTTCTGCTGCCCACCTTCGTCAACGGGGAGTCGCCGAGCCCCGTCATCGAGAAGGACGCCCTGCCGCCCTACGCTAGGGTCACTCTGTACATTTTTCAGGTGCCGCACAGTGGGCCAGAAGACCGGCGGAGGCGGCGAAAACTCGGGACGCGTTTTGAGCTCCAGAGCCGCTTAATGAGACTCGAACCGCTCGTGTGACCCCACCAATGGATTCCTCGTCCGGAGAGCAATCCATTGGTGGGGTCACACGTTCGGTTCGAGTCCTGTTTAGCGACTCAGGAGCTCCCGTCAAGAATTTGGGCCGCCTCCATCGGTCTTACGGCCCACTGTGTGCCCCAGTGAGAAAGCTGGCTGTACTTTTTGGCAAGAGAACATCCTTCATAATTTTATTTAGTAAATTGTTAGGATTACATATTGTAGGCTATATAGTGCCTGGTTTCTGACGACAAAGTCCATTAGAGTATGCCAGCGTCATCGTGGCAATGAATAAAACGTTACGGAAAATTCTGTTAACACCTTGTGATGATTCTCGGTAGGGCCTCACAGTATTTTGCAGAGGGCTATACAGTCTTCCCGAAGGGTGAGGAGGTCCTGCGGAGAATATTGATAAGAGGGCTACGGAGAATCTTGGCAAAAACATGACAATTTTTCGTAGCTTTTTGCCTTAGTGGTATTTGACGCTAAATAAGTGACCATGCACATAGAGGACTGCAAGATACTGTCCCCAAGTCTCTTCACTGTTATTCATCCTGCGATAATCACTGTCTATGCAATAAAAACTTATCACATTTTTTTTGCTATGATAACTAGTACTAAAAATCTTAAATAAAAATTTTATAGGTAACTTTTGCAATAAAGTATCATTTTTTTGCGATAACGACAACAAAGAAAATGCAATGAAAAGTCATCGCTAAAAATGTGATGGAAGTTACTACAAAAACGCTCTTTTATCGCCAATATTATGAAGTGGTTATTGCAAAAAAAAAAAAATGCTGTAACTAAATCGTTGCATTCTAGGGTGCGATAAATCTTAGGAATCGCAAACTCGGTTTTATCGCAAAAATTTGAAGTAAAAGTATCGCAAAATGAGTGACTGTTTCTGCGCGTCTCAGGACCTTTACGTGTTCGTTGGAGACTCGTGCTTCGTGCTGGTGGAGTACGTGCACCTGGGCACCACCCTGGCGGCCAGCCTCATGTTCCGCACGCTGGCGGCCAAGTTCAAGGCCGAGAGCCTCAGCGACCAGCAGCTGCGGCACCTCGTGGCCCTGCACCAGCGCCTCGTCGACAACGTCAGAGCCTTGCAAGTGCGCTCCACAGTGGGCCACACTCTCCGACTCGTATTGACTTTTTTCTCTCCATTATTGACATTTTGTCCTTTGCTTACGTAGTTTTTTAAGCAGCAATAATATGTAGTATTTCCTTCGTAACCATGTACAATATTGTTCACTATAAGGACTAAATTGTCATCAACTATTGACTATTTTTTAAGTAAATTGCGTATTGACTCTTTGTCGATAGCAAATTGACTTTATGTCAATATAACGAACAAAATCCTACATAAGTATTGAGGAAATAGTACTTTTTATTGCTGTGCAAAATACTCTTTTACAAAGGACAAAAAGTCAATAACAGTCTGAGAGTGCAGAAGACCGGTGGAGGCGGTCAAAACTACGCGTTTTGAGCTCTACGCTGAACAGGACTCGGACGGAACTTGCGACCCCACCAATGAATTTACTCGTTGAAAGAGCAATCCGTTGGTGGGGTCACACGTTCGGTTCGACTTCCATTTAGCGACACAGGATCTCAAAATGCGTCTGGAATTTCGGGCGCCTCCAACGGTCTTCAAGCCCACTCAGCGCACCACTCGCCACATGATTATTGATCCAGGAAGCGGAAGAAGGGAATAATTCGACTTATACCTATGTTGAGTTCTTATTCTACTATTGTGACTTAAAATGGTTTACATCATTGCAGTAAATTATTTAACTCAATTCCCAGCAGTTAGGGAGGAAATCCACTCTGAAAAAAGTTCTGAACATGACCCCTTCTACGCTCTCAATTTAGCGGAAAACCAAATTTACCAAATTAAACATGACTCCGTTGGAAATATTGTCCATAGGAGATTACTCAGCTGGTGTTTTTGTGTATCTATTGTAAAAATAATCAAGTCGCTGACTACAGTTCCACTTGACTTGTCTCCAAATTCTACTTCGTTTGCAAAATATAAATTGAAATGGCTATTTTCTATTTTTACGGGAAGTGATAAGTAACAGAAATTCTGTACGGAGTGACCTGGCACTTCATCTTAAAATTCAACGTATGTTTCTTGGACTTGGTATCGTGTATGACATTCATTGCTTAAGTATTAGTTTTGCTTGCTAACAGGTTGTTTTTCTCCTAAGATGTGCAAAATAAAGTTATCCACTTCTCCCGCTTCCTGGATCAAATATGACACAAGCAGCACACTGTGAAAACCTTACAAACTATTTCAGGCCTTACGAAGATAAGTAGATTGTAATAAAGTACTGTATTTTAAGCATTTATAAGCTTTCAAAGAAAATACTTCGCAACAGACTATTTCTTCTTATAACAAGTTAAATTAGTTTGTGCTATGTATGCTCAAAATACTTCGCAAGGTTTTGAGGGTGCACCTCGTGGTTGAACGTTGAATGATGCCTTAGGAACGCCTGTCCGGGGTGACCCTGGTGCTGATGTACTGCGTGATCTCAGGGCTGGTGACGTCCACGTTGAGTCTCATGGCACCCGACCCGGTCCTGTACATGTTCCTCATGATGCCGACCCTGGCCGTCGTGATCGCCATCAAGTGCTCCGTGGCCGACGAGCTGCTGGCCTGGAGTGTGGCCCTCGCAAACGCGGTGCGTCCTGGCTACACGGTGAAAACGGTACCCGGTTTTCCCAGAAACCCCCTGGAAATCGCCTATGTCTTTACCATGGGCTTCCTGGGGAAACCAGATACCTTTTTTACCGTGTGGTCTTCTACGAGAACCGAAACGGCAACGTCGTTGCTTTGAGAGCCTTTGGAAACCAGTAAAATCGCCCTCCTCGAGATTTTGTTTTGTAAAATTACTATCAGTTCGCCGTTAAATTTGTACAACGAGGTGATTGTAAAATTTCAAATAGAATCTCACCACCTAACATTATTTCGTGAATTAATATACCCCTAAATTAACAAAATTAATCCTCAAATTTTGCTAATTTTAGGGATCTTTTCTCCCTATTTAGTAAGGAAACAATTCTGCAAACTCGTCAGTGCACTCAGCACCGAGGGGGTAACCACTCGCGTAATACCCTGTACACGACAACCGTGTATTACGCGTAATACACGTGATCGTAATACCATTTGTGGGTCACATGTGTCAAATTTTGGCATTTTAAGGTCGTAATACATGTGTAATACACCCGTAATGCAGCGTAATACCGAGTAGTCTGTACACGATTTCTTAAAGTGTTTACCCCCTCGCTCAGCACACTCTCTTCAGTGGGAGTGCAGTCCCCTGAGCGTGTACTCATGAGTACATTCGCGCGATAGTGTACTCAGATGAATTCACTCTTTTAAGAGTGTGATAGTGAGTGAACGCTGAACAGTGTTGTGAGAGCACTGCGGAGTTTGCAAAGAAAGGAGGAAAACGCAACTTTTTGTACTTGATTTCGCATTAAAACTTTTATACAGGCGATCTCGCATGTAAATTTTTGAGTCAGTTGTAAAATTAAGATTGGCTCGTAGGGAAACAAGTAAACGTATGGCAACATGCGAAACATTACGATGTCATCGTAAAACTACGACATTAACTCCTTAAATTATGAGTTAAGGTTGTCGAAAGATTGAAGTTTCTTAATTTCACGAATCATGCGTAACTTTATGAATAATTATTTGCAACATTGCGAAAGTATTTCTAAGGACACGGTAAAAACGGAACCTGGTTTTCCCAGGAACCCTATGGTAGAGACATGGGCGATTTCCAGGGAGTTCCTGGGAAAACCAGGTTCCGTTTTTACCGTGGATTGATATATTGTAAAGTAACGATTTCGCCTAACAGTGCATCTGTGCAGGTGTATGCAAGCCCGTGGCTCAGCTCTCCGCGAAGCTTCCGGCTCATGGCGCTAACGGTGCTCACCAGGGCGCAGCGACCACAGGTAAATACCTGCTTATGGCGGGAAATGCGATGGGTGAAACGAAACAATAGTGCACTCATTTGTACACGTGAGGCCCTACTCAGTGTACTCACAAATTTTAAAAGAGCGAAAATAACTAAATTTATACAGGATTTGGTATTGTGTTTGTTTAAAACGCGATAAAAGCAATAAAGGCAATAAAACGTTCACAATATGGCCAATTTATGAGTATTATCAGGTGTACTCTCCTGTACTCATGTGTACACCAAAGCGCTGAGTGATTCACTCTTCGGGAAAATGTACTTACTCCGAAATTGTTTCTTTCTGTCCACAGCTTGTTGCCGTGCGGTTCTTGGGCCGCCTTGACCGACCTATTGCCAGTGAAATATTTAAACGATGGTACACTTTCGTGCAGGTGCTCAGTGAATACTGAGAAGTGGACTGCGTGCTGGTGGTACACTCTACCAAAAATGTCCTGTAAATGCCGTTAATTTATTACCAATTTTCACTGTAGGTCAATTCACAGCGTTTACTGTGATCTGCTCACGGGATTCACTGTGATCTTGTTCGCGGTGTTCACTGTGATCTGGTCCCCAGTAAACACTGTGAGTTTGACGCCGCTAAGCACCGAAGTACTGCAAATCAGGCTCCAATTCACGGCGTTTACTGTGACCAGATCACAGTGAACACTGTAACCGAGATCACAGTGAACGCCGTGAACTAGTTCACAGCAAACGCCGTGAATTGCATAACAGCAAACGTTGGTAATAAATTAACGGCGTTGACAGGACATTTTTTGTAGAGTGTAGATAGGTAAGAACATTGCATAGTTAAAAGTCATCACGTCGTAGATAGATAAGCAATCTATTGTCACAGGTGAATCAACAACTTCGCCCTCAACTTCGCCCCACCGCTCTACAACATCTACAAGCTTCCTGGACTTCACCCGGCTCCATAGACATTGCAGTAGACAACTGCTCTATAAGTTTTGCTTATGCCTTCCCCCACTCTCCTCTCCATCCCTTCCGGGAAGCCTTGCTTGGTGTGTTCGTCGATTTGTGCAGTCAGTATCACGCAAACCTTCCACTTCTTCTTTTCTATCGTCCCTAAACTCCACAGTTTACCATGGTTATACCAGACATCAAGAAATACAACTGAAGATTGTCAGCTTATACTGTTGTTACATTGACGACTGAACACAGAAAGAAATAAAAAATATCGTCCACCCCAAACTCACTGTTTCGTTCTTCTATTTTGTTCTTAAAATTAATATAATTTCAAACCTTTATCTCATTACAGCGCCTAGGTATCATTGTGTGTGATTTCCCTGAGCGCGAAATGTCCTGTAACCCTATTTCAAACAAATTGATCGTTTTTAGGGACAAGGAAATGGGGTAGGCCAGGTAAATAAGGGTTACGAATATGGTTGGTTTCCGTTCTGGTGACTTAATGTCGAACTTCATGAAAAAACAAATACTCGAAATACAAATTCTGTCATATACATTTTTTTTCGTGTGTATTACCTACTCCCTTTCCAGGCTTCTTCCTCGTCGTGCACTGTGGCAAAAAGATACGGAAAATTCTGTTAATTTTTTAGCCGAGATTCTCCGTAGCCCTCTTATCAATTTTCTCCGTGGGCTCTTACAGTATTCTCCGTAGGGCCGTACAGTACAGTATTCTCCGTAAGGGAGGGTGGGGTACCATGTGACGGTTTCTGTTAAATGCCCGTCAACCCAATAATACCAATCACATTACATCCATAAGTAGAACATGTGAACAAAATGATTCTTCACCTTAAAATTGCTGTTGAGATTTCTAATTTATCTGTTTTGGTTGCTGAGTTATCGCGAGTTGAATGGGCCAAGTCAAAGTGTCACTTCGTACCCCACGTAGTACACTATGTGACAACCTTAGTGTACCATGTGACAGTGACCTTTTGTCTGGGTTTAAATCCTATTCAGCGTACCTACACGCAGAGAATGAACGAAGAAGTCTTCCAGCTTTTTATTTCCGTTGAGTTTATCAATTTATCATCTTTGGTTCCCGAATCAAAAATTCTTTCACAGAAATGGGTCGTTTAGGATACTGTAAGGCCAGTGCCAAAACAGTTTTGGCCGGGGCCGCCCCCTTCTTGCCCATCAGAGGCCTCAAAAAAGGGTCTAAACGTCAAAATTGGCACTTTTACGACCATAACATTGGGACCAGGTACAATTTTGACATGCTCTATCTCGCTTTTGGTGCGGAATATATGTCCGAATGCTGTGAATTTTTCGGAGAGCTGTTGAACAAGGTCTTTCGCCCGGGCGTAGGCCGTTTTTGTCAAAAAACGGCGTGAAAATCGTCGTTTTTCATGTACTTTGATGTCTTCCGCCATCCTGTGCATTGTGTTATGCCGTTTAAGACGTCCCACTCGATCCATCTCTCAAGACCAATTCTGAAATATCATTTTGCATATAATCAACCCAGGAAGTGACCAGGGGTGCATTCCATGACAGAATAACAGGCCTTGAGACAAAGGTTGTCAGAATCGGCCCAAATTTTTTTTGGTGACTCTTTCTCACTATAGTAGACTCTAAAAACAAATTTTTAGATTTTTTGAATTTCTTTTGTAGTTTTGGTCAACCATTTTAACCAAATTTTTACGATAAAAAATGCAGATATCAAAAAAGACGTCATCATGGATTTGGCTGAAAAAATTTTTGTAGCTTCCCCTTGGTGTACTAAGAGCCTGCAATCCCCCATTGAGGGCCCATGGTACAGGAATGGAGAAAAAAATCAGGAATGTTGAAATTTGGGTTGTTGTTTTTTTCACTGTTTTGGGCCAAACTGACACTCTGAGGGTTCCGTCTCTTGTTTGACCTTAACGCTTGGGTCTCACAATTGAAGAAGCAATCGATTACTTTCAAAACTCTCATTAGGCAACATCTCAGGCCTCTCCTCTCTTGATTCAGAATTTTTTAAGCTGGCCATGAAATAAACTAATGGAGTATTTACCTCAATCCCTTTGTCTCTGTTTTACGCAGCCAAAAGGATTACTTGCTCTGTGTACGCTACAGAGAAGATTTTGTCTTCACAAAGAAGATTTTGACTTGGAAAATTCTGAATCAAGAGAGGAGAGGCCTGAGATGTTGCCTTGAGAGTTTTGAAAGTAATCGATTGCTTCTTCAAATGTGGGACTCAAGCGTTGAGGTCAAACAAGATACGGAACCCCGAAAGTGTCAATTTAGCCCAAAACAGTTTTAAGAAAACCCTAAATTTCAACGTTCCTGATTTTTTAAGCGGTCTTGCTACCGCTTCTAGCTCTGCATCCGATCCCACTCATCCCATCCCATCCACCCATCCATCCATTCAGCGCGCTGGGAGGGGACTGCATGGTCGTGTTGGTCGTCGTCGTCTGTCGTCGTCCTGCGCCGCCACGCCGCGCTGCCTCGCCGCGTTAGTCCCCACTCCTCACAGCCACCCCCACCCTTCTTGCCCCCTCTCTGCCCGGCCTCCCCTGCCGGTCCACGGCAAGACCGCTTTGCTAAGCTTGCCTTGGCGGAACTTTTTCTCCATTCCTGTACATGGGGCCCTCAATGGGGGATTGCAGGCTCTTAGTACACTAATAGGGGAAGCTACAAAAAAATTTTCAGCCAAATCCATGATGACGTCTTTTTTGATATCTGCATTTTTTTATTTTTTGTCGTAAAAATTTAGTTAAAATGGTTGACGAAAACTACAAAAAATTTTCAAAAAATCTAAAAATTTGTTTTTAGTGTCTACTAGTAAGGAAGAGTAACCAAAAAAAATTTGGGCCGATTCTGACAACCTTTGTCTCAAGGCCTGTTATTCTGTCATGGAATGCACCCAGAGTGGAACCGGAAATGGCCATGATTACGCCGGAAGTGCACGAAATGTCGAAAACAGCAGTTACCTATTTTGACCGAAACGTGTCCACTTCCAGCGCGCTCATGGCCATTTCCACTCTGGCCGGTTCCACTCTGACCACTTCCAGAGTTCATTGGATGCAAAACGATATTTCAGACTGAGTCTTTAGAGATGGATCGAGTGGGGCGTTTTAAACGGCAAAAAACACTGCATAGATGGCGAAAAACATCAAAATACATGAAAAAAGACGATTTTCACGCCGTTTTTTGACAAAAAACGGTCTCCGCCCAGGCCAAAGACCTTGTCCGACAGCCCTCCAAAAAATTCACAGCATTCGGACGTATATTCCCCACCAAAAGCGAGATAGAGCATGTCAAAATTGTAAGGGGGAATGGGGTAATTCCGGACACGGGGTAATTCCGGACACTTCGATTTTCACTGGGTTTGAGTGAAGATAACTCAAAAGCCCGCCTAACAGAGGAAGATAATCAGTTAAAAATGATAATTCCAAATCGCCAAGGTAGGAGGTCAAACCGTTTGGCTGTGGTCGCTTCACGAATTTTGAGTACCATAAAAAATAGGCAAAAGCTGCATCTTTTCCCCGTATTTCCATGTACTTATCGTACCTTACCATCAAGTTCAGTCCCATGACTAAAATTTTATCATATTATATGGTCATTGGACTTTACTTTGGCGTTTCGGGAGTGCTCGTATGGCTCGCCGTTTTCTTACAATTGAACATCAAAGGTTTTCACTACCTGTGGGGTAGAACCAGACAAGAAGTATTATTTTCTTCAATTTCCCGCATCATATTAAGGTAGTGGGTTCAAAATTGTGGACATGCATCCCCACCGTTACGAAGGATAAAGAAAGAACGAAAAATAGTATTGCAGCTATGTTAAAGAGCTTTACTCAAGACAGTGTTGTCAATTTAGGGGTTTTGATAAAAAACTATTCCTTTTAATATGCTTTGAGTCATAATCAAACACTTCAGTTCGCAGCAAATGTCCTTGTACGCCTTCTAAAAGCATGCCTGCCATCAAAACAATCGAAAGTAAGCTCGAGTAGTGTCAAATTTTAAGGTCGTCCGGAATTGCCCCATAGATCGTCCGGAATTACCCCAGGCTGGGGTAATTCCGGACACGTGCAGGGCTTTTGTTAGGCGCCTATATATCCCTAACCGTTGCTGAGATTTGGCTTTCATGTATATCATTGTGAAGGTAAAGGTCCATACTTTTTTCTCATGTAATAACATTTGACCCAAGAAGCATATTCAAGCTCAAAGACCAAAAAGAAAAAAAGCGTCCGGAATTACCCCACTCTCCCTTACCTGGTCCCAATGTGATGGTCGTAAAAGTGTCAATTTTGACGTTTAGACCCTTTTTTGAGGCCTCTGATGGGCAAGAAGGGGGCGGCCCCACCCAAAACTGTTTTGGAACTGGCCTTTCAGTATCCTGAACGACCCATTTCGGTGAAAGAATTTTTGATTTTAGACCCATCGCTCCACCCTACCGCACAGTCTTCTCCGTAGGACCTGGAAGACTGTTTCGTCCTACGGAGATCACTGTAAGGTCCTACGGAGAATACTGTAAGAGCCTACGGAGAACATTGACGGCTACAAAGAATTACCACAAGCTGTTAACAAAATTTTCCGTAGCTTTTTGCCACAGTGTGCGGTTTCTCGACTTGTCCGTCTTCGACCGCAGGGTCGGTCAGCTGGCCCTTTGATTTGATAACCCCACGTGGAGGGGCCTGTCGGCGAAAGCGCTATTCCCCCAACCTTGGCCGGTGCGAGTGACCACTTCCTGCTTTCCTGCTTTCTTTGTCATGGCTGTGATAAGAATGCTGTTCAGCCTCCAAATATCGCAGTCGGACGTGTTGATTGGAACGAGGGGGCCGAGCGGGTATTATCGTTTTGCATATGCCGCAGTGTACATGGTTCAAGGCGGGCTCGGGGTTTAAAAGGCGGTCGCTACAAGAGACTGCCGCAGTTGCCTGTGAGCATCAAGTCTGAGCGGAGTCGTGTCGCGTGAGCAGCGTTTAACACTCGACCACAGATGGATGGTTCTCCGGATTGGTGAGTTTCTTTTATACATTAGACCGTGAGTCCCGGGTCGTTCTGCACAGTACATTCTTCGACTTTATAGTGCATAGCTATGCATGCGCACGTATACGTCTATAAGGTATGTATAATGTTTTGCATCATTGTGTACATTTTATGCAGGGAGATGCATAAAATGTACACAGTGATTATACACAGAGGTGCGCATGCATAACTGTGCCTATGCATGAAAATGCATAATTATGCAGTTAAGGGGAGGTTCTGGTGAAAATCTTGCCATTTTCCAAATGGATCCTACACTCATAATTTGTTCGGAATATGAAGTTTTTCATTGGGGAGACTAAAATTTGACTTTTGAAGGCACATGCCAGGCTGTAAACCCAGTCGAAGAGTCTTTTTGAGCCTATTTTGGCTGTATCTTAGAAAATCTCCTTGCGCATACTATTTTGTCGTAAAAGGTTGACCTTGACATTTTTCACTTCTTCGACTCATATTCAAAAGATTCCGGCATGCATAGCTCAAAACTTCAATTATATTATTAATTATTAGCTTTTTAAGCTGAAAAGTCCCTAAAATTTGTCTATTTTGTACATTTTTGATCGATTTTAGTGAAATGCTTGGTTAGAAACCTTGCGAATAAAAATGCAATTGACATTTTGAGATGGGCATGCCGACATTTTTAAAAAATGAATCGAAGAAGTGAAAAATGTCTAAGCCAACCTTTTACGACAAAATAGTATGCGCAAGAAGATTTTTAAAGTTATAGCCTAAATGGGAGAAAAAGGCTCTGCGACTGGATTCAGGGCATAGAATGTGCCTCCCCAATGAAAAATTTTATTAAATACTTGATAAAACATCAAATTTTTAACAAATTTTCACAGTGGGACCTATTTAGGAGAAAATAGCATTTTCACCAGAACCTCCCCTTAAAAAGTCCATTAGAATTTAGTGTGCGCATAGTGATCGTCGCTCAGACATCTGCGTTTCTCAATAAGATTAGAATAGAAGGTTGGGGAAGACCTGCCGCGAACTTCTAAATGATAAGCTTTCTGACGCGAGCCAGATCGCACGATTCGTGACCCACAGTTGCTTTTTGACCTTATCTTTCAAAATTTTTAGAAGGGCCGAAAAGAAGCCTACCAGTAAGGACGTGGTGGGGAAGTAATATTTAATCTGCTTTTCGTCGCTTTCAGACGTTTCTTCTGTCCCCTGATTTGCATCAAGAAAGCTAAGAAACATGGCGCGACTGCCGCTGCTGCTACTGGGTGTCATTTCTTTACAAGTTTTCCTCCCGATTTTATCTTTATCATTACCGGATGAACTGTCACCAACATCAGGGGTAATTTATTTCTTGCTGCAGCTCACGGTTTTCACCCTTTTCCTAATACTGATCGGCATTATACAATATTTCAGAAACTAACACCAGGTGCGGTAAACACCAGTTCCAGACTTAAACGACAGTCTGATGACAGACTCTTCCAAGGTGGGCCGCGACAATGTCCACAGAATCTACCAGCACCACCGATACCAATTCAAGGAGAGGGCCGACCACGAACAGCTATACCATTGAATCGTCTTCCGCCGGCACCAGCATTCAACGGCAGAGTAAGTGCCCCCTTTCGAATCCTGAATCCTGACGGTTTCAACCTACCATCTCAAGATCCGGGAGGAAGAATGCTGGGTGAAGGTGGAACTCCACTTTCTCGGCATCACATCATCCCCGCAAGGACGCTTGGAAATTTCTTCAACCTCGTTATTCGTAATGAAATCATATTCCAGGGTCATGCAGGTGGAAGTAGGCATTTTCGTTTTGGCGAGTTTCTGGAACGTTTGACACAAGAGGCTATTTTCGATTTCAGAAGATTGCCTACTTCTCAAAATGACGCGCACGATAGCGCTTCGGAAATTGCGTATGTACTTGTTGGGAATCAATCTTTACCAAGGCATACGGAAACTCTTTATCACATGTTTCAGTGGTTCCCGCCTAACATATTTGTAGGACCCGACCCAAATTATCGAAATAATGACCCTCAAGACCACTTCGATGAGGAAGCAGCCTGTGCAGTGGGAGGTGGTTATGGGGTGATTATCTTAGAACTGTTTAGAGCTTTGAATTGGATCATGGTGAACTATAATGAACACGCGGATGCTCTTACTGACGAGCAACACACAGGAATGGTGACATGTGCAGTCGACATCCTGGATAGATTATTAAACTACCAGAGGAGAGTATACCATTACAATCGCGAACAGTGGAGGGCAGTGGACCGAAAGTGGACAGCAATATGTCCGCCTACGTCACACTTTAGAAGAGAGAGAAGAGAGATAGGGGCCACATTCGCAACTAAAAACAAGTCTTCAATACCAGATTCGTGTTGTTTCGTTCCTGTGAAGTTATGGGATCTTAAGAGTCGAAATTTGGCTATCGCCAAAATGGTTTTTGAGCGCGCCAAAAATAGTGGCGGATTCACGGAAAAGGACTATGCATCATGGAAAGAGTGGTATCACAACTCGCCGTGGATATCAAATTTCAGTTGGGGAATATTTGGAGACGGGGTGAAAATGGCAGGTTTTGGTCTGCTTAAAAAAGTTTGGGGATCATTTGGTTATGTGTTTAGAGATGGGTCTGTTTCTGTAGGTATAGTAGGGAGAGATACCCTACATGGTGACGATAATTGGAAGACGATAAAGGGAAGTGACTGGCTGTTGGATAAGGACGAAAGTGAGGGTTATGCTGGTCAAATGTTTTTTGATAGAAATGGAAGGCCAGTGGCCATTGTTATCACGAAGAAAATATTCGGAGAGTTTGGTTCAGGATACTCTTTCATCTACAATGATGGTAAATGGGAGTATGAGTCGACGGATGATTGGGATGGACGCCGCTTTGGTGGTAGGACCGAGTCTCTTGATTCTACTGCACCAAGATTTCTCAGATAACTTCCCGTTATGGCCAAATTGACCTGGGAGGTCAAGATGTAACTTGTTATACTTGTGTTTCATTGAATAAAAAATAAATAGATTGTTTTAGACAGGCTTTTTAAAGTGTTACCTCGGATGTACTGATTCTACTCATCTTCCGACAAGCCCATTACACATTCGCTCCCATGACGTATTTTGGAAACGACATTTTTAAGTTACGGAATTAATCGTTCCACACATCTTTATTAGTCTTTGATATATTGACCTAAAAGTACCATATTTTAATGCACGATTTCATTCTCTTTCCGATGAGCACAGAAGGAGACCTCTTCGTCCAATAGGAGCCGAGATAATTGCACTTCAGTGAAACACAGCTTCTGTAACTTGAAAATTTGCCAAAAACTGGTGAAGTGATATAACTCCGGAACTATTGGCTATTGGCCAAAACCATTTTAGGGGTTTATTGCAGACACTAATTATTGGTGGCGATTCGCCATATTCGGTTCAAATCGGATGACGTCAGTTTTATTGGTGTTCAAGTTGGTGTGGAATTACCCTGGTGTGCCCTCCGAAAGGCTTTGTCCAATTCTTTCATTTCTGCCTCCGTTAAGTTTCTTCGGCGCCACTCAAACACCGCATCTTTGTACGATCCCTTAAACTGCAGACCCATTATGCCAGTAAGAGCCAGTGACATCACAACCTGCAATAAAAAAATTACAGACAATAGATTACTACGCTAGTGTCAATTGGGAATAAGCGTAAACTGACTAATGCACTGAGTCAAAAAGTTACGGCTAAAACTGTAAATAACTTGTGATAAGTCTCCGTACTCAGAACCCAACATTTCTCGTGCCCATTTTGCCAATCTATTCCGGAGGGGTTAGAGTTTTCTCCGTGCACAAACTCTACGAAGAATCGGTTCATAATACGAGTCAATTGAGGGCATTGTAAAATCTACAAAGAAATGCTTCGTAAGCTTCAGTTTTGATTGCTAAGGATTTAAGATAATACCGTGAAACAAGGTCATTTCAGGCACTCTTGAGAGTTGTTTTTTTTTTTTTTTCGTTTTTGAAATTGTAGAATTTGTAGTGTTGCCATGGCCTTGAGGGTTAAAATTCATGATCTTCCCATCTTTAGCTTCGATTTGGCGCTAAATTCAAATATCTACGCCTCACTGTTTTTACAGTGGAGGGTTCGAAGCAGTGTCCGTAATTGCCCCGGGCGTAGATGCCCGAAATTACCCCGAGGCCGACATTACCCTGTTTCACGGTGTTCCAAGAAACGTTAGACGACTTCTGTGATATTTGACGTCTTGCCAGGGTAGACCTCAACAACCCTGCAAGAGCAGCAGCCTTCGAAGTATAGTGCCCCAGCCTCGCCTAAGTTGGATGCCACCTACCGGCAGAAGGTTGCTGAGGCGTAACGTCATCCATGCGGTAAGGGTCACTCGGACAGGCCGCTGAGTCACTGCTGCTGCGAAACGTTCCAGCTGTCAAAGAGAAGAACCAGAATCCAAAAGGTGTAATCAACAACTACCTTCCAAATAGGAATGCGCCCATAAACTGGGCGCCATTCTCGCTGCTCCACTTTTTAGGGCGCCAAATAAGTGATCATCTCTCAGAACAACGTATATTCATGTCATGTTCATGTTATGTACGAATGCCACACAGATGTCGCCCAGTTTCAGGGCACCTTTGTCGCTTAGGGTGCAAAAGTCACCCCATAACTGGCCCTCTATGATGGTAGTATCTTTGCCTTTATGTAGTCTGGAGTGCAGAGTACACTGAGAATCAAAACGCTTTGAACGCATCAATTGTTGCAAAGCTTTTGCATGGAGTGCAATGCCTTCCCATTCCCATGCATAAGCATGGCGCATTTTCGGGAAGCACTGCACCTCAGTGCATTGCACCATACGTGCTGTATTCATAGCGTTTGGAATCGCAGAGAAGTAATATTGATCAATGACTGGATAAATAGATGAATGTAGTGCTTCTACAAACGCCGTCAGACGTGTTCTAGTAAATAACACTGGCCGTTAAAAAGGAAACGTAACTACCTGGGCCGATTCAGCTATCGATATATGAGAAACGTTCCCAATTGAGTGAATAAACCTAATCGTCGCCGTCCCCTGAAACAAAGAAAACTAAAATCAGTCCCGGGTGTGTCAACAGCATTTTTGAATTTTCAAACAAGAAAACAACTAGCCCTCATCAAGACAGAGTGCACTCACTCAGCTGAGCACTCTCGTAGGAGTGTGCTTATGAGTACACGCCGAACAGAGTGTACTAAGCACACTGTAGAGTTTGCAGAGTGCACATTGGCTCTTTTCATCGATGAACAAATAAACTTACGTTATCAATAAGGCGCTGAACCCAAAGTAGAAGAAGCACTAAACTCAACGGAGCCACCAATGACGTCACATTTAGAGCCCAAGCCATAACAATCTCCCAGATGGGATCCGAGCCAGTTCTCAAGTCATACAATAAAATCATCGTTTTCGGGCCAAGTCTGTAAATATGGTGTACAGATTCTATCAAGTGCCAGACAATTAAGAAGGCGACTTGTTTTCCGTAGCAACGGCACACTGTTTCTACCAAATCCGTCGTAGCCGTGTGCAGCGACATTGCCTGCGGGATTTCAAATACATAGGATCAAAATTAACCCATCGGGTATGCAATCCTTGATAGTTACTTACCACTTAATACTTCATTGGAAACGGGAAACGCCCGAAATCGTGTCTAAGCGTATCTCGCTATTCATACTCCTTCCGAACCGTCACTAGTTTCGGACAACCGCACTGTGAAAATTTGAGTCGTCACTTGATGACAATTTTCCTTGTATATATAATAAGAATAAATTTCCTTACAAGGATGTCATCAAATCAGTTGATGACATTGTTGTCATGTCCATGGAATGAGTAAAGGTGCTTTGATGAAAATGTCACCAATTAGTGATGAGATTATCATCATTTTAAAGTGATGAAAATATCATCCACGTTTTTGTCATAAAGTGACGACAAATTTTCACAGTGCGACCACGCAGATTTGCGCGAGGGGTCCCCCACTATGGTAATCGTGTGTGCATTTCGTCCACTCTCAGACCTATATGAACTTTTTTTCTCTCTTGCGTATGACGATTTTTTTTGAGCAGACATAAAATGTACCATTTTCTCTTTAACTACACTGAAATTGAAAGTGTGGTGAAGTTACCACATTTGGCTATGGTCAGACCTAAAGTGTGGTTACCGTATTCTACACCACGCACAACTGTGGTAAGAATTCCACACCTTCAAATTAGTGGTGTACAAGCCTATAATTTAGCCGTTACCTCATGTATTGCGTGGTCAATAACACCCTTTTATGAGGTGTGGAGGACTGACCTCATATTTGCTGTGGTATTCACCATGAATTTTATGTAGTACTTTGCATGGGTTTATACTTGATATTCAATAATAATCGGCGTCAAAAGTCTAAAAAAGTTGGATTTGTTATTCCAAAATATCGGGCAGTGAATTCCGTTCCTTCAGGTTCGGTGCCTACTGTAAGCCAGGGTACGGTCAACATCTTTTAATGTACGGTGGAGAGTGGCAACAACCGTCTTTTTTTTCACAGTGTACTCACCTCTTCCACAAGCGGTGTTATGTGGTATCCTTTCTCCAAACTTACTTTGATCCTTTTGAGCCTCTGATTTATATCAGCATACCGATTTGATAGAATGTCAATTACATAAATAAATAGCGTCAGCTCCATTGCCAGTGCCACGTCCTAAAAGATGTAAACCACGGGATAAATATTGCACACTTGCAAGTTCACACTTAAAAATGCATGTTGCGTTGCAAGGAGTTAAACGGCGCTATTCAGTTGTGCTAATAGCAGAATAGCACCCATTTTCGTTTGTTGTGAAAGTACAGATATTTTTTTGTTTACATTGTGATGTGTCCAGCGCGTGCGGAGTAATGTGTGAGTTGTCCTCACGGTAAAAACGGATCCTATTTTCCCCAGGGAGCATGGTAGAGACAAGCGATTTTCAGGGAGTTCCTGGGAAACCCCTAGTTTTCCGCGCTATGCTCTACTTACCTGCAAGTGACGCACAAGAAAATATATTTGAAGGATGGGGAATCTTTTGGCGACATCCAGAGAATATGAAAGCGACGCAGCACATCGCAAAAAATACATGACCGTGAAAAGTAGAATATGTCCCGACATTCCCGAAGCGGTAGCGTTGGCAAGAACTTGTCGCAAAGTGAGGAGCTTGTTCGTCGTCCGTCGTGGTCCGAAAGAAATGCAAGTCAGGTAAACTGCAGCGGTCTTCGCCAACATATATGCACATAACAATAGACTAGTAAATGTTATGCCGTCAAAATGCTTATATATCTTCCTGAAGCGATCATAATCGTCATATAAACAAGCTAATAGCTCTGTACCGCATATGACTATATTAAACACTAAACTGTACCTGCGGCAGAAAAGAAACAGAACCGTGTTATGAGCTGAACAACAAGGAAAATTATTTTAAAAATATATGGATTTTTTTAGGTGGAACAAGCGAAAGAGCAACACATTCTGTCACACGCTGTATAGAAGGTCTTCTTTTCCCACAATTAAATTCGCGCTCTGGATCAGGGGGTGGCAACAGCCTAGTGCGCGCGTGAAGCTATGCGCGCCGCTCGGGCCGGCAAGGAGCGGCCGGGCGGCTGGGCCGCGCGGCCGAACCAAATTAAACAGAACTTTGTCAAAACTGCATCGAACTGGGTAAGCGAGGTCATTTTTAGATTCTACGCAAAATTTCCTATTCGTGAGTGACAATGGAATGGACTTTTGGATATGTGAAACAGTTCTAAAATCAATTTGAAAACCAAATTTACGGCACCAGACAGCCGACTTGAAGTTTCCCTTTCACTAAAAAAGCTATTTCCGTTCGTTTTAGGTCCGTACATACAGCGAGCCGGTTGTTGGCCACTATTTTCCGGGTTGCGTGGTACACTTGGAACGCCAATACGACTTCTGTAGCAGAAATGCCAATCCAAAAACTAATTTCCATTTTTGGTCCAAAATTGTATTTTGCAACTTTGGAGGTTAAAAGCACAGTTTGAAATAGGTTTCTCAGCA